TTATCTTCCCCAGTCCTCCTAAGAGTAGCTTTCAAAACAACAACAACAATAGAACAACAGTAGAGCAGTTTTGTGTATGCCTCTTTAAATAGGCAAGAGTTACTGAGAAGAAAGTAACTGAGAAGAAACATTGTGTGGAAAGTGGGTAAAACATTCTGCAGGATTGTACAGGTGGCCCTAGAGCTGAAGGGCAGCAGCCTGGCGTTAGCACCACGGTGGCTGCGCTGTGTGGCTACCTAAACGGTATGTGTTAACTGTGTGCTGAGGACTTGCTGGGGTCAGGCACTGCGATCGTGGGTTTTTTAAAGCTCATTTTACGAGTTTAGTCAAACTGTGTTAAGATCTTTCTTAAAAAGACCTTAGCTGTCACACTGATATGGATGCTCGGGGTTTCTGTAAATGATGAACTCTGACGTAAGGAAGGCAGATGTATAAGAGCAGAGAGGCTGAAATACGAATACCTTAGGAAAGGCAGAATATTTAACAGTATTTTTAAGATGTTCCATTTGCCAGAAAAAAGCTGGCATCTCCTAATGAGACAGGGCCCCTTAGTAATTTCAGAGAAGCAGGAGAAGAGCTGCAAAAGCACAGAGCAGCAGTCAGAACCGAGTGCATCCAAGCCCAGCGACCTTTCTCGGCAGTAACAGAGGCACAACCAGGGCGGCAAAGCGCCCTCGCCAAACAGAGCAGCTGCCAGCTGGAGAGGGGCTTCCTCTGGGGGCCCGTTACTCATTTAGATCCGTGCAGTGAACAGGAGCTCACAACTTTCCAGTTTAAAAGAATAAAAGGTAGAATGAGAGGCAGGTTAATAATATGCAACAGCAAGTGAGACACGAGTTTTACAACCTGTTTTTGATGTTTGATACCCACGGGCCTGTGTCCCTTAAGTAAACAGTTTTCCCGTTTTACTCTGAAGAGCCCAAGGAAGTTGGCTGCTTAGCTACATAATTCAGAGTGCTTCACGCTCTTATTTCCAAAGAAAATACATTTTAAACGTTTCCCTCAAGAACCTGAAGGTTTATTAGTAAGACGTGGGCAGAAGATGCTTTCCCATCAACAGTTCAATGTAAAACAGTGTTTATTTGTCACAGGGAAATCTCCCCAAGAAATGTACCTTGGGCTGTGATGAATGCCGAGAGGGTTTCTTTAGAAACTCCAGATGAGACCTTCTCTGTAGCCCTGGGGCTGCTAAAAGCAACTTTATTGGTCATCAGAGTTTCCGGAGATCAGCGTCACTCAGTGGGCGGCCCAGGCCGGTGCGGTTTGGGCGCTGACCCACCTGCGCAGGAAGCCTCAGCCCCGCTCAGACGGGCCCCGGCTCCGCAAGGGGGTGGGCGCAGCCCCAGGAACACGCACCGCGTCTCAGCACAGGCGTTCTCACAGCTCCCGACTGTGAACTGTCCATCCCCCGGCCGGCAATGTCCAGTTCTGTCCCCTGGATCCAGAGCCCTTTCTTTTCTAGGTTTAAACTGTGTCTTGTAACTGCTCCCGGTCTTTCCGGAGCTGGGCCCTCCTCCTTCACACCACTAGCCCCCCGTGTTTCACTTTATCTCCATTTTCCGTGTGGTAGTAACAAATGTCTTCCTGGGGGTGGGGGCACTCTGCCCTTCTTCCCGCACCAGGGGCCGCCGCTTGCCCGACACCTTCCCTGCCCTCCGTGGAACTTCCCACTTGCCATCCACAGAGGGCAGCTCGTCCAGGCCGGAACAGCCTCCCCAAGCGTCCCTGCAGCGTTGACCCTCCCAGGCCTTTGCTATTATCGACCTCTGTCCACCTTTATTTTCAGCCCCAGGATGCTTGGTCTCAATGTGCCCCACAAGTAAGTAGGTCAAAGCAGGGAAGGCAGCACACAGGGCTGGGGGACCAGGCGGGAAGGGAAGGGACGGGTCAGTCAAGGTCCTGTGCAGCCAAAGCGCACTGTTCCTGAGGGTGTTTTTCTCTCCAGCTTTATTGAGGTCTGACAAATAAAATTGAAAGATGTTTCAAGTGTACAATGTGATCATTGGATACGCTGTGAAAGAATGACCACTATCTAACACACTCATCACCTCACATATTTATCTTCTTTTTTTGGGAGGGGGGACAACACATATGTCCCACTCTCTTAGTAAATTGCAATTATACATGTTATCAACTGTAGTCACCATGTTAGTATTAGATCCTCAGATCTTCCATCTCAATACTCAAAGTTTGTACCTTATTAAACTTTCCCTATTCCCTCAACCCCCAGTCCCTGGTAACCACTTTTCTATTCTCTATTTCCATGAATACTTATTTTTTTAAATCCTCACCTGAGGGTATTTCTTCCATTGCTTTTCAGAGAGTGAGGGAGAGAGAGAGAGAGAGAGAGAGAGAGGGAGAGAGGGAGAGAGAAACATCGATTCGAGACATATTGATCGGCTGCCTCCCACACGGGCCTGGACTGGGGACGGGGATGGAGCCTGCAGCTGCAGTGCGTGCCCTTGACTGCAACCGAACACGGGAGCTTTCCGTCTTCCCACCGATGCTCTACCCACTGAGCCAAACCGGCTACAGTGAGTTTGACAGTTTTTAAAAGATTCCACATGTAAGTGGTGCTGTGTAGCATTTGTCTTTCTTCATTTAGCTTATTCCACTTAGGATAATGCCTTCCAGGTTCATGTTGTTGCAAACTGCAGGATTTTCTTCTTTTTTAAAGCTGAGAATAATATTCCACTGTATTATCTACTATGGGTTGTTGTTTTTTTAGAGGGAGGGGAAGGAGAGAGAGAGTGGGAGAGAAACATCGATCTGTTGTTCCACTTATTTATGGCTTTCTTTGGTTGCCTCTTGTATATGCCCTGGCCAGGGATTGAACCTGCAACCTTGGCCTATCAGGACAACACTCTAACCAACTGAGCTACCCACCCGACCAGGGTGCTGTTTTCTTCATTCATCCGTCGACACTTGGACGCCTTAGCTATTGTGAATAATGCTGCAATGAGCATGGGAGTAAAGATATCTCTTTGGGATAATAGTTTTGTTTTCCTATGTATATATACCTAGAAGTGGGATTGCTGGATAAGATAGTTCTAACTTTTGAGGAACCACCATACTATTTTCCACAGGAGCTGCACCAATTTACATTCCCACCAACAGTGCACAAGGGCTCCCTTCTCTCCACATTCTCACCAGCACTTGTTATCTTGTCTTTTTGATAATAGGCACTGTAACAGGAGTGAGGTGGTATCTCGTTGTGGTTCTGATTTGCATTTCCCTGATAATTAGTGACTGTTTTTGTTATTGAGTTGTATGAGTTTCTTATTTATTTTGGATATTAACCTCTTACTGGATATGTGGTTTGCAAATATTTTTTCCCATCACATAGATTGTCTTTTCATTTCGTTGATGATTTCCTTTGCTGTGTAGAAGCTGTTTAGTTGGATGTAGTTCCACTTGTTTATTTTTGCTTTTGTTGTCAGATCCAAAAAAATCATGGCCCAGACACTTGTCAAGGAGCTTGCCCATGTTTTCTTCTAGGAGTTTTAGGCTTTCAGGTCTTATGTCCAAGTCTTTAATCCATTTAGAGCTGATCTGTGTGTATGGTGTAAAATAGGGGTCCAGTTTCATTCTTTTGCACGTGGTGATCTCATTTTCCCAACACCGTTTATTGAACAGACTGTCCTTTTCCCATTGTACATTCTTAGCTCCTCGGTAGAAAATTAGTTGAATATATAGGCCTGGGTTTATTCTGGGCTCTCTGTTCTGTTCCATGGACCTATGTATGTTTTAATGCCAATGCCATGTTTTGGTTACTACAGCTCTGTAACATAGTTTGAAAGCATGGAGCATGATTTTTCCAGCTTTGTTCTTTCTCAAGATTGCTTTGGCTACTCAGGGGCCTTTTGTAGTTCCATACCAATTTTAGGATTTTTTTCTATTTCTATGAAAAATGCCATTGGAACTTTGATATGGATTGCATTAAATCTGTAGATTGCTTTGGGTAGTATGGATATTTTAACAATATTAATTACTCAGATCCATGAACACAAAATATCTCTCCACTCATTTGTGTCTTCAATTTCTTTCATTAAAGTCTTATAATTTCAGTGTACAGCTTTTTTTAAATCTTTTTTTGTTGTTGTTAATCCTCACTTGAGGATATTTTTTCCATTGATTTTTAGACAGAGTGGAACAGAGGGAGGTGGAGGGGGAAGTGAAAGAGACACATCGATTGGCTGCCTCCCGAATTTGCTCTGACCGGGCCGGGGATTGAACTTGCAACCCAGGGAAGTGCCCTTCACCAGGAATTGAACCCGTGACTCTCTGGTGTGTGGGCTGATGCTCTAACCACTGAGCCATACGAGCCAGGGCCAAGTGTACAGGTCTTTCACCTCCTTGGTTAAATTTATTCATATTTTATTCTTTTTGATGCTCTTCTAGTGTTTTTAATTTGAATTTTTGAAATCTGTCAAAGAGACCACCTTCATGGGTCATTTCACCTGAAACCATCATACAGTTCTTACATCTGAGAATGTTCTCTCTAGAATTACCACCTTCGTTTGATCTAAACAGCAAGCTCCACTCAATCCTGACCTACTTAGGCTGAAGTCTCACTTGCAAACACCCTATGCTGGAAGAAAAGCAGTGTGAAGACTTCTTAGCTCTCAACCGTGAGGAATCCTGGGTTACCCTGGCAATGAGGCAGAAAACTGCAAAGAGCCTGGCCAGCAAAGCAGAAAAAAGGCCAAAGAAAGCCCAACCTAATTTGTATAACAACACTATTTGATCTTATACAGTAAAATAGTCATAAACTTAATAAAAACTCTAAAAAGAAAATTCACGATTGTATCATCTTTCTAAAAACAAGTCCTCTACACTGTAAAACATCAGCTACTAATTAAAGTGGGAAAGTCTCAAACTAATGGAGTTCCAGCACACATTTGCAGACAGGTCTTTGTGAGCGCACTTCCTTGAGCCTGGGCTGCGTGCGGGTCCGATTCTGGGCTTCAGACTCGGGCGTATCACAGGTTACGCTCCGCTTTTGTTTCACCATCACCCTTTTACCTTTTTATTTCAGTTACACTTTATTTTTTAACATACATCTCAATCTGATCATGCTTTAATGTAAAGTGCTTTATTCTCTTTACTCCTTTTAAAAGAGGTACCGGGAATACACTTTTAATAAGACAGGCTTTTATGAATAAACAGTGATAACAGGGAGACAAGGGTGCTTTGACAGGAAGCCTAGTTTTAAGCATGAAAACAAACCAACTAACTAAAAACTGTAGTTTAAGTGGCATCTTATACTTTGTTTTCAGTTTTTGAATATTTTTAACAATTACTTTACCCAGAACCCCTCATTTGTCCACAAACACCATAGGTCCAATTAGCTTATTTTCAAAAGCATAATTTCAACAAAGACAACTGGCTAAGAAATAAAACAACACAAAAACCCCACTCAAAATGTGTACCCCAATCTCACTTGGAGGCATTCAGTGAACACAAGTCCCTCTTGCATACTAAGTAGGCTGGTCACACGTCGCCCAGGATTCCTGAATAATGATGATTTGCTTCCAAAATTTCCCTTAAGGTTTTGCAGTGTCCCATTTTATACACACAGCAATCTAGAACCAAGTCCAACTGAGCAGCATTTTGCAAGTAATTGTGAATATATTTTTCAAATACAATCTATGCAAAACACCACCATGATTAAGGTATAGTAGGGGGTAAATGAAAGCTTAACCAAACCTTACTGAAACATAATTGAGACTGCATGATTTCACAGAAATAGTACTGTGTCCCGGGATTTCTATAAATAGGTATTGAACACTAAAAGCATTTAATATGAAAAGGGAAGTTGAATTCTTGATTTTTCAGAAATTTTTCACTCTTAAGATATTAGACAAACATAAAAAAAAAAATGAGTTAAATTCCTCCACATGTAAACCATCTGTCATCCGTTTAAAGTTTTTTAACTTCATTTCTTCACCAAAAACCGTGTGATGTCGGATCCATGCTTTGACGCCAGAGACTGTCTCCTCACCTGGCTTCTTTCCTTGGCTTGTCTGGCAGTTCTCTGAAAGTTAAAAAACATGAATGTGTTCACATGTTGGGAGAAAGTACTGGCTACAGAAAGTAAAAAACTCTGTATTCTGTTAGTCTGGAAAAATCTACATGATCACTACACCCATCTACCAGTGTTTTGCCATTGGAGGGGAGGTCACCAAACCTCAAGCAGCAGGCTCAAGTAGCTCTGCTAAGTGTCCTGAGGTCCCAGGTCACTTAGGGCCAGATGCTAAGGAGAAAACACATAACTTTGGGGGAGGCTACCCAGTGAGATCCGTGCATCCCTCATTTGGGGTTTTGGGGTGGAGGCTATAATTCTCTTGTCCAAGTGGGAGTTTGTAAGCCCTCTTGGGGTTCCCCCAAGTGCAGTGCGCACAAAGCCCACCCCTTTCCTCTTCATGGGAACTCCCAGTCCACCAGCCGAACCAATGCAGAAAGACAAAATAAGATAGGCAAGGACTGGATTCTTCTGCCAGTCCCACAAACAAAATTTTTCATGAGCATCTGAAAAAGTAATTACAGAAGGGGCAGCATCTTAATTCTCCTATTAAAGTCCTAAATGTGTTAATAATTTGCACAGCTGAGAAATCAGATGACTTTTCCCCCAGTTGGAGTACATTTGATCCAGGTGGAAGGGTGAGGAAAGCAAAGACGGTTCAAAGTGAAAACAAACAAAAACCCCTCGCACATACGACATAATCCCATTTATGTAAAAACTGTTTGTGAAGAGAGGAAACTAAAATAGCAAAAGAAGGCTAAGAAAATGCTCATACAGTACGAACACTGGCAAAGGGTCAGAACAGATCTCAAAACTGTAAATACAGTTTGATTAGCGTTTTGAACAACATCAGGGTCTTCAGCGCACAAATGAGGGCAGGCTCCTCGGCCACCACGCCGGCGCTGGCGGATGCAGTGAGACGGGCACTCTCCGTCGCTGACGGGAGGGAGGGGCCCAACGGTACCACCTTTTGGACAACAGCTTGGAGATAAAAATATCAGCCTCAAAAATATCCAAACACTTGACTCAGTGATATTTTAGATCTGAGAATCTATCTTAAAGGAATGACCTCAAACACACAAAAAACCCGTTTGTCTACGAAAAAAAAAATGTGCTTGGCAACATTATGTGTAAGAACAAAAACGGGTGTAAATAACGTCAGTGCTCGTCAGTATGGGGAGGGCCGAATAAACTATGGTAGAGGTCCACGCAACAGAATAGCACGCAGCCATTTCAGACAACAGACATTATGAACGCTTATGGGAATGCGGGAAAATGCTCAAATCTGCCATAAGTGGTGAAAAAAGTTAGAAACAAAGTTGCATATTGAACATATGCTTCTTTCTAGGACTATCCCAACAGGTAGGTCTGACTTCCTTTTGCTGGACTGCCTGTTAAAAATTCATCCTAGCCGATAAACAGTACTGTGTCATGTTTCCCTCTCATTTTAAGCAACAGGTAATTAAGTGCTCAAAGATGTGCCAAGGTTCACAGGTTTCCTACTTTGACCAGGAGTGCAATGTTTGCATGTTGAACTGAATTGGTCCCAGAGATAATTTATTAACGTTCTCAGACATCTCAGGACATTCTTAGCTGCAAATGCAAACATAGGTCACTGCCCCAATTCACTAAACTTCTAGTTTGATGGTCTGGGGCTCTTTAAGACTATGCAGATAATACATGGCATTCATTTTCTTCTCAGTGGTGGTGAAATTTCCTGGACCTAGGATGAGTTAGAAGGCAAACAGCTTCTCTTCCATCTGTGACTGAGAATAGGCCTCAAGAGGAAACACAAGTGTTAGGTGATAAAAGAAATGAAACACATCTTGGATCCTGGACCAGGGATATAGGCTCACACCTGTGTGCACAATGTGCACTTTGGTGTCCCAGGATAGAGCCAGGGCGTCTGAGAGCTGCACTGACCTCTCTGTGACAGACTGTGCAGAGCGTCTGCAGGTTGTCCAGGGAGCACTGCCCTCCTCCACTGAACACAGGCTTGATGTGGTCCACCTGCCAGAAATGTCCCTCCCCTGGGGCTCTTATCATTTCATTGAGCTGCAACGAGAACACAAGATCAGCACTTTTTTACATACACGGTGGGAACTGTTGGTTTTGCATTGTGTAATCATGTTTATACAGCAAAATCACAGGGAAAAATACATTAGGATGGCTTTTTATTGCTTTTTTTGTGAATAGGAAAAAGCCTCTAGGTTAGCAATTTGAAAGCAATAAAATGTATTTCTGAAAAAGTTCTTTTTCCCTTACTTAACCCATTTTGAAAAAATTACAAGCAAGTATAAAATACCAAGACTCTTGACAGATTGGGAAAAATCAGTTGCTTCTGCACTTTTGAGCTCGTTTATATAGTCACTAAAATAAACTGAGAGACGAATAAGAAAAGATTAGAAACTTAAAGCGTCTGAATATTTCTGACTTGAATAATCTTTAATTGTTGACCTAAATGCATTCATTACTATACCAATAACAGTTTAATATTAATAGCTATCACCTGGAACTTTTATGCTAGTCACCTGGGAATCTCCCAAGCTGCATGGACTGGTACAATATTTCTTGAACAAACCTCTATAAGTTGCATATTCTGAATAAACAAAGATGTCCATTTAAAGTAGGCACGATTTAGGCCAGTCCACATGCACACACTTTATATTTAACCACTGATGACCTACATTCAAATGGGATGTATTTTAACATTTTACCTAAGGTAGTAAACCAGCTCACAGCACAGCCGTGCAGCTGTTTAAATATCACAGAGATGAGTGTGGAGGTTTTTATTTTCTCAGTCTTGAACAAGGAAGAAATGGTGATCAAGTTCATGGCTGCCAGCATATAGGTCTAAAGCACTTTTAAGGAGCCTTGTCAGACCCCGGCAGGCACAGGGACCTGATCAACAGTGCCCAGCCTGAGAGGAGCCCCAAGTGGAGCAGTCAACTTTGTCCAGCTGTGGTTGGCACTGGAAGCAGCAGTTATAAATGGAAGTCTTATGCACAGAGCAAATGGCACATTCGTAGGAAGAAAATCCATTTTGGTTCTGCCTTTTGTAACCAAGTCTCCACAGTGACAGACTATGATCCAGAGATGATTCTTTATTCTTCCTAGTAACTGGCAAATCACTGGCGGCCAGTCTTCAACATCCTAAGTTAAGCTCTCTGACTGGTCCTCCCCCGCCTGAGCCTGTGCTGCTCCTTAGCCTCTGAGCGCTTTTGTTTTAGGTGTATACTAGTTACTCTGCATTCCCGGGCAGGCTGCTCTCAGGGTGTCCTCGAGTCCTTTCATGTGTGTCTCTGGGAAGTGCCCACACTGAGGCAGCAGATAGTAACTGGACTCTGGGAGACACTCCTGGGACAGGTGCAATATGTCCCTCACCAATTAGACCAAAGGATATTTCAGGAACTCAGGATACCATTTAAAAAATAGTGTATTTCCCTAGTTCTCAAAGTCATGTGAATTCATCTATGCAGAAATGCTTATTAATGAATTCTGTCATAATTCAGCAATACTAGGTAAATAAAAATATATGATTAACTAACTGGCAGAAATGTATCCAGTATTTTAGTAGGCAGGGAATGGCTCAGGAGTGATTTTTTAAAAATTAAGCTCACTATAAAATTACACATTTTGTTTTAGTTAGAAGTTTAGGGCTGATTAGATCACAACATTATAAATCCAACTGAGTTTTGGGAATCAAAGTGAATATTGATGAGTCTAAGAATAATATTGTGTCATAAACTGCTCTGCTAAAATTGTATTTTACAACAGATGAACAGATATGTTTCCTTCTTATTGCAATGAACTACATTTTTAGGGTCATCTGTTTGCCCTTTATCATTCAATATTAACATCATGAAAAGTGTAAAAACTGGACTATAGGTGTGTTTTCTTAAATTAAATTTATTGGGGGATGTGGAGATAAAGGGGTCCTTGTACACTGCTGGTGGGAATATAAATTGGTACAGCCACATGGAAAACAGTACAGGGCTTCCTCATAGGTGTCTCTTGATGTAATGTATCATCTGTTAAGATCTCTTCCCCAAATAATTTAATCCAATTAAGCCTCTATATTTTATAACCGTTGTTCTGGAAATCAGGGGGATAGGGAAACATGTCAGATAATACCATGAGAATACAGGGAGATAAATCCAGAATATGGGAAATCCTGCACGCAAATTATCCAGCATCCTCAACAATCAATGGTGTAAAAAAAGATTAAAGAGGCCACAACAGGCTTAATATTTTGATCCTAACTTGAACAAGGCAACTGCAAAAAGATAATTTGACACAATCTAGAAAACCAAACATGGATTTACTATAATCAAGAAATTATAATTGTGTTGGGTCTGATAAAGGGTATTTGGGGTATGGGATTATATTTCAAAGATAGAAAGAGGAAAGAAGTCTTTATCTGTGAGAGATACATAATGAAAATATTTAAAGATGAAATAAAATGTCTGAAATTTGCTTTAAAATAATTCCAAGAGAGCCCGGCTGGTGTGGCTCAGCAGTTGAGCATCGACCTAGGATCCAGGAGATCGAGGTTTCCCGGTCAGGGCACACGCCCGGGTTGCGGGCTCCATCCCCAGTGGGGGGGCGTGCAGGAGGCAGTCGATCAATGGCTCTCATCATTGATGTTTCTCTCTCTCTCCCTTCCTCTCTCTGAAATCAATAAAGACATATTTAAAAAATAATAATAATAGTTCCAAGAGAAAAAAAGAATTGAGGTAAGGGACAGATGAAAATGAAGGCAAAATGTCAATAACTATTAAAGTTGGGTGATGGGTATTTGGGTTCATTATTCTATCTACTTTTGTATATATATTCAAAAATTCCCATATTAAAACGTTAAAAGGAAACTGAGTTACACAATTATCATTACCTGCTCTAAAGGGAGCTTCGAGGTCCAGGTAACATCCAGAAGACTCTTGCGCTGACTTTTAGGAGCATCTCTCAGACGTAAGAAGAGTTCTTGAGCGTTGAGCTTGCACAGCTGACACACACCATGTTCAATTTCAAATACTTTGGCTCGCAGGTAACTGTTATTAGAACGAATCCAAAACTCCTCCTGACACTTCAGAGAGCAAAACCGTGAATCCCAAGCACTCGCTTTACACTCTTGCTTAGTTTGGCAAGTGGGTTGCTGACAGCGGAGGCAGAGTGGATTTCCTTCTTCATCCACAGCTTGCAAATAGCCTTTGGATGCAGGAGGCTTCACACTAAGATTGGTTTGGGCGAGGCAGGGATTCAGAGGTGGGACAGAGGCTCCATTTTCAAGACACTTTCTAGAATTGAACAGAACATAGCTAATAAATACTTACCCTAGTCCAATTAGGCCTAACTTCATATAAAGGTCTTCAAGATTTCTATGTGGATAAACAGTAAACATAGGACGCAAGATTCTGTGATTCAGGGTGGAAATGAAACAGCTACCGTCAGCATCCTACTCCATGCCAAATAAAGGAAAGAATGGTGTGTTTAAAAAGGTTAATTTGAATACAAATATGCAGCCTCTCTTGGGAATTTAAATATTGTCAAGTTAAACAGGTAATCAGACTTTGAAACATGTGGAGAAGTTAGAAATGCTTCTTCAGGTTCAGAAGGGCAGGCTAATGTGAAATCCCAGCTAAGGTTAATGGCCACCATGCTCTCCACTGTCACACTCCTCACCAGGGCAGAAAGCCTATTCCCAAGGCTTTCATGACCCTGTCCTCCGGGCTCTGCTGGCCCACAGGAAGCAGTCACATCCATGAAATGACCGAGCCAAGTAGCTGACAGTGTTGATAGGGTTAGAACCAAAGACTTGCTAAACATGTGCCTCCTGCAGGTAAACTCAGAGTTTGACTGAATTAAAATAAGAAATGAAACATGATAGGACTTGTGCTCAATTTGTTAGAATAAAAGGAAAAGTCCTACATGGGTAATTACAACCATGGCTTTGCTTATTTTCTCTGGCTGCTTATTAGCAGTGTTAGAAGAAAAACTTACGAAAGAATGAGCTCAGGGTTGGGGGACAGAGCCCATATTTGACCTCAGGTCCCCCAGCATCTTAGTGGCCTGAGGCAGGTCACTTTGTCCACCTGGCCTCAGGGTCCTAAAAATAACTTTCCCGACTCCAATTTCAAGGGCGAGGACATCATGTGCCTCACAGGGCTGCTAGGACTGAAGAGCTACCAAATTGTAAAAGCTCCTTGTAACCGTAAAGTACTATTATGAAAATGGAAAGGAGCAGTCTTGGTACCGTGGTGCCCGACTGGTGAAGGAACCTTACCCTGCGGCCGTGTCCCGGGGCCCGGCCTCCTGGGTGATCAGACGGACGTGGCCCCCGTCATTCCTGACCTTGTCCATCGAGGCCGCAGCAACATCTTCTTTGGTTATGTATCTAAAACAGTGACATGTTAAGTAGATCGCCTCTCTCCTGTAAGACTGTCTATCTCACACTCACACTGCTCCTTGCAAAAGCAACAGGAGGGAAAGCGAGGTACGCTGTGCTGATGCTTGTTCAGGAATGAAATTTTCTCCCTTTACCCTGGTCTCCATGTGTGGGAAACACGCCTCTTTCTTCCCACATTAGTTTTCTCACAACTTATTTTTCTAAGAAATTCAAGAGTCATCCAAAATTCAAGATCATCCTCAATTTTCACTTAGAGGAAAAAAGGAGCGGGTGTGGGAATAAGAAATGATCAATAGCAGCTAAGTACACAGCTTGCAGCGCCATGCAGAAAATCTCTAATTGCATTTCCCCTCCCCTTGGCCTTCTCTTTAAGGTTCCTCAAGTCACCTTGATCCGTTATAACAGTGTCTCAGTGTTTCAGGTAGTGATTCTCTTTTTAGTTAAGCAGCTTCAATCACACCTTCTATACTCTCAAGGTTGTTTCCATTATTAGCAGCCCATGTGGGGCTTACGGAATCTTCCACCGGAGCGAAGCCACTCTTGATGCGGGACTCAAGCCCTTGTAGCACAGCACTGTCGATGCCGCACAGTGGTTCAGGGACTGGAAGTGAGGAGAGTCATTCCAATTCAGCGTGACGGGGGAATTTAAGTAGGTGAAATGCAATTACCCAATTAAGTCCTTCTAATTAGCGTGGCCCAGTTTCTCTGGGAGTTAACACCTACTGTATTTTTTTTTTTTTTTAAATCACTTTAAACATAAATTTCCTCATATTTTTGAATACGTCACTCGGGAGCTTGACAAAATCAAAGTTAAATCACAATGGAATCGTCCTGCAATTGTAGGTAAAATTTTAGAAATTTGCTTTTATGTTGTTAAAGTAGATTTAGTAATGAACAGATTTCCTTCTTATAAATGCTCTTATTGACTTTTCAGTTAGGTGATACATGGCGCACATATTTGAAAACTCCGATGGCACCCAAAGTGTACACGACGGGGAAGCCTCCCCTCCGCTTCCATGCCTTCCACCTCCCTGAAGCGGCCTGCTGCTGGTTTTCCATGTATCCTTTTAGAAATAGTCTTTTCTGTATATAGTTATACATTTCACTTATTTACCTCTATATTTTTATTGACATATAACTCATACCACTAAATTTAACATTTAAAACTTTACAATTTCAGTGCATCTTAGTGTGTTCCCCAGGTTGTCCCACCATCACCGCCACCTAATTCCAGAACATTCTGTCTCCTCAAGAGGAAGCCTGCACTCCTCAGCAGACACTCCCCATACACTCTTCACCTTTAAAAACAGGCGGGAGCATCAGATACACACTAATCTTCACCTTGTTCTTTTTACCTAAACATACATCTCAGAGGTCTCTCCAAAGCAGTACACACAGAGTTGCCCTATTATTTAAATGGTTACAATATTCTGGTATTTGGATAAACCATATATCTAACCAGCCTCTGATTAATGGGTATTTTGGCTGTTCCAGCCTCTGCTATCACAAACAATGCTGTCATAAATATCCCTACACATGATATTTTCTACACATGAAATATATGTAAAATAAATTCCCAGAAGTAGAATTGCTGGGTCAAAAGTCTTGGGTGCTTTAAATTTGGATAGCTTCTGACACAGTGCTCTCTTTTGGATTTGTGCCAACATCCAGATCCACCAGCAATGAATGAGAGTACGTTTCCTCACAGTTCCACTGGCACAAAGTGTGTCGGTTAAAAAATTCTTGCCCTGGCCAGTGTGGCTCAGTTGGCTGCGCGTTGTCCTGTGCACCCACCTAGATTGCGAGCTGATCCCCAGTAGGGGTCGTGCAGGATGCAGCTGATTGATGTTTCGATCTCACATCAATGTTTCTCTCTCCCCTTTCCTTCCTCTCTCTAAAAGTCAATAAAAATATTAAAAAATAAAATCAAAAACAAAATTTCTCTGTTAATGGTGATAGGTATCTCAGTATAGCTTTAAATTTGCATTTCTTCTGTTAAGAGTAAGGATGATTATCTTTTCATGCATTTGCATTTCTACTGTGTGTCTTTCTTAAAGCAATGAAAAATCACAGTGAATTCTTTTAAAATTCTCTAACTTTAGTTCTTAAACTCCCCATCCCCATTTCTTCAACCATTTTACTCCCTTGACAAAAACACTTCACTAAAGTATTTCAGTGGATTCTAAATGAACTTGAAAGCTTCCTAGCCTTGAGGGGCAAGGGGATATTAAGCCTTGCCTTAGGTATTACTCAATGTTTAAAGGCTTAGAAACCTAATTCAGTAACTTGAAAAGATGCTGGGAAATCTATTCAGAGATTTAAGAACTAAAAATAACCTTTCCTACAATAGTTTTGAGCACAGATTTTTGGAAACCGTAAGGAACAGATCAATCAACTCCAAATTGGGGGAGAGGGGGATGGGTGACAACTTTTCAAACATAGCTGTGAGTCACCAATATTTAATTTTCCACTGAGGTTTGCTAGTAAGTTCATCTAAGTATGTCAACTCTGAAAAGGATTATGGCAAATCCCAATTCTGACAAATATGGAAGGGAGGTTGTTGTCTACAACCTACTCCCTGGGTGGGGCTGCGAGTAGAGGAAGTTTTGTAAGACAGAGGAGAGGGCATGTGTTGGAAAGTGGTCCACACCCATGAAAACACTGCTGGCTCTAGGTTGCTGCCGGCTCAGGAGGTCAGCTTTGGCTAGAGGACAACCAGATGGCATCCTAAACCCAACAGAGCTCCCACTGAATCGGGCCTGCCTCTGACCAATTGGAACTTGCTTAGGAACCGAAACAATGGCTGGTGATCTCGCTTCCACCCACATTTAAGAGAAAGTTACTCAAAAGCTGACTGCAAGCCCTGAGCTTGGATGGGCCTGAACACTGGTGGATGACACTGGAGGATAATCTGGGTGGAGATTTAGCCATTGCTTTTGGGGGAATTCCTTAGATCAGTACCTATGTGTCTTTATTCTGAGGCCATTCCATTTTTTTTCAGAGATGAACCTTCTACTCTCCTGCCCAGGAAATAAAACGTGGCTGCTGGTGTTCTGGAAGCTGAGTGAAGAATGTGGAAACATGCTGAGCCTGATGTTTCCAAGCCCGATGCCTCTGTGGTTCAGTTTCTCTAGAAAGTAAACTGGTAGGACAGTGGGGGGAAAGGCATTGTGTGTGACCCCCTCACATAGACTTCCAATCCGTGTTGCGCAACCCCGCCCTTCACACCTGCTTTCAGAGAGATGGGGTTACTCCAATTCACTGAGACTCAGTGGGGTTCCATGGTGAGAGTCAGCATCGCCCCTCTATAGGGTCATGGCTCTGCTAAGTAGGTCTCCCTGGAGCCCGCCCTCTTCTAATCAATGGCCAAGGTCTCTAGATCTACCTCAACACCGCTCTTCATTTTTCTCCATTCCCATTGCTAATGCCTTCATATAAGTCCTCATCTTTCCTTTTTTTCCAGGTCTACTACAATGTCCTTTAACTTGTGTGGTAGGCAGAATTTTAAAGACATCTCCCTAGGATTCCTGTCCCCAGTATCCAAACAACCAGTCATGTAGGTATCACTGTACAGGGACTTTGCAGATATAATTAAGTTTACTAATCAGCTGACCTTAAGATAGGTAACAATTCCAAGCACAAGGAGTTCACACAACTTTGCTGGCCCTGAGATGTAGGGGTCCTTCTCCTAGAACTAGGAAGAAGCCTCTAGGAGCTAAGAGTGAACCCCAGCTGAGAGCCAGCAAAGAAACCAAAGTCCTACAACCACAAGTAACTGAATTCTGTCAACAACCTGAATGAACTTGGCAATGGGTTCTTCCTGGTCAATCAGTAAAGCCCAGCTGGCCAATATCTTGATTTCAGCCATATAAAATTCATAGCAGAGAAACCAGCAGAGCCAACCCGGGCTTCTGACTTATAAAAGTGTGAGATAAAAACTGCTGTTGTTTTAAGCCACTAAATCTGTGATAAATTGTTATGGTAGCAATAGAAAACCAACTCAACTTGTCTCCCCAATTTGAGCCTCACCCTTTCAATCTTACCTTCCAACTGCTGCCAGAGTGAGCTCTTAAAAATACAAGTCCAGTGATTTACTCTGCTGCTTGTTAACACAAGTGTTATCTGTAAGATATCATCTACATATAATTTTATAAGTAACTTTAGTTTATATAAATTTTATGACTTGCTTTTAGCCTGATCAGCCATCTTTCTTTAAGTGGCCAGCCATGTCCGATGGAAAAGAAACTAGAAATGTCTGGAGTGGGCAATAAATCCAGTTAGGAAGGAAATTATGATCATGCAAGGAAAAGACCAACACGTCAGCTACGACTGTGGCTATAAACATGAGAAAATGGACAGGCCTGGAAAAAGTATTGAGAAAAATAAAGTAGGCATCATGCCTTTTGCTACGTGTGTGCATATATGTATGTGTAGGTGTGTGTATATATAAATACACACATGTTTTATTTTATTTTCTTACACACATATATTTTAAATGTATTTTTTAATATACAGTAATATATGCTCGTGAAAAAAATTCCACCAGTACAGAAGAGGTTAGGCAAGAGTCCAAAACTGGCAGCTCATAAATAAATCCAACTCGTTTTATTTGACTGATGCCATATTTTATTTTTAAATCTGAATTTAAATGATGTTAGATGGGTTATGCCCTTTACAATTTGCCATACACCTCCTACCCATCTTTCTCTAGTTTTATACATGACCTCATCCGTTCATTTATGGTACCTGCTTTGTTTTCCTCATTAGTTTGTGATCCTGGCATAAAGCATAAAGTCCCTCCCTATGATCTCCACAAATCCCCTAATCTTATGGTCTACAGCAAGACTTCTCAATAGTGGCACTACTGACACTTTGAAACAGAAAATTCTTTGCTGGGGAGTGCAGTCCTGTTCACTGTTCACTGCAGGGTTTTTAGCCAGACGTTCCCTTGTTGTATCCCCTAATTTTGACAAACTAAAATGTCTCCTAACATTGCTACCCTGGAGGTAAAACTGCCCCCAGTTGTGACCCACTGTCCTAGAGAAACCTCTGGTAAGATTTTCTCAGGTATCCTACCAGACACATTCTATGTCAGTAACAGCAATCACATATATTTGTGTCCCCAACCTTTTTATACTTATTTTTACCTTTAATGACTTGTTGCAAGTATCATTCCCCGTTCTCCCATATGAATATACCACATGCCACATTTTGAAACGGCTGAAGATTTTTCACTGTGTAGAGATATAATTTGTTTAATCATCCACAGCCTCTCCTATACCACTGGTGAATTTTTTTCACCTGTGTGCATGGGAAAGGGTAGAGATCACAAAACGCTGGGATGTGGGTGTGAAGAGAGATTACAAGTGTAGGGAAACAGCAAGGGCCACAGGGGATTTTCCTGCCATGTGGCTGTTGGTGTTTTATGATCTCTTCCAAAGCAAGAGTGGGGCAACACTCAGTTGCCTGCCATCCTGGGAACCTGCTTCGTGCTGAGGAAAGAATCCACAGAGAGTGGGGATCATGCAAGGGGATACGATACTTAAGTAAGGCAAAGATGATTATGAAGACAAGAAAGAAAAGTGAGTGTTCAGAGATTACAAAGGGACCTGCCATGATAAAGGCAAAACAGCTATAAACAAGAGACACTTAACCTTTCCTTTCATTTCGTTTCCAACCACAGGCATAATACTTACCTCCCACCACTTCAGTGGTGGTGCGTCCAATAGAACCAGCCCCCCGCTGCATGGCACCCAAGGTCCATGCTCAGGAGCGCGGGGCAGACGGGCCCAGAGGTGTGTTCTGCTGCTCTAACAGGGAAATGTCTTCCTATTGTTAATAAGTGTCCCAGGCTTGGCAGGTCACAGGTCGCACCAACCTGTGACTCTGGCCTCTCACCTGGCAAGTGAGACTCAAGGCGAGCAAGGTCCTGACACTCAATCTTTTCCAACAGATTTGATCAAATTCACAAAGTATGCAATTATGTTGCTATAAAATAAGCTGTCACTTTATGTATACTTTTCACTCATCAGGATTTCATTAGTGGTTACATAAATGCCCCAGACCCCCTAAGAAATAACCATGACAAGTAATAAAATACAAAATAAAGAGAGAAAGACAGCCCATACCTTTTTGTGCTACCCTGTTTGGCTTGCTGCTTTGTGATCTCTTCGAAAGCCAGAGCCGGGCTGCAGAAGAGCTGCCCGCTTTTCCTGATCACCCTCTGCTTCATGGCCGTTAGGCTGCTCCACTCGCGAACAAACTTCAAAACCTGGCGGGAGATGAGACAAGGAGAAGAGCGCACACAGCTCAGCACTCATCTTCCTTTGAAAGCGAGGTTACTGATAACATCGGAGAACTGAGGTTTTGTTATATGCCCCAAATAGGATTTTGAGTGTCACAATTTAAGGCTTTCCCCAATTTGATGCAGCTCTCACCTGTTTCTCGTGAACCATCTGCAGCCAGTTCTGCAGGCGTCTCTTTCAGTCCAGAGACTCTGTAGGCACGTTTCAGGGCACCCAGCATGTCCCTAACACATAGGGACCAACTGCAGTGACGTGCTCAGTGAGACCGACAGAGGCCTGGCTGGCAGAAGCAGTGGCTGAGGCAAAGCTTGTAGTCTTGGGGACAACAGTGTGGCAGTTGTGACCAATGGACACAGCAACATATGAGAACCACTTTGTACCCCAACTTAAGTTATCACAGGAAGACAGCCATCAATAAACCTGGGACATTTCTATCAGAGTACCATTAATCTTACTTATTGGTCAAGTATACACACTGGCTATTTTCTCAGATCTGAGAATCAGGATTAGAGGACACTGAAGAAAGTAACTCTCTGCTACCTTTTTCTAAGATTTAAGACAGGTGCAGCCAATGCGTAGGCAATGTTTGATTTCCACTCAAAGGGCAAAACACAATCACGTTTTCTTGTAGAGCGTGGTACTCGGCCTGCTGGGTCAGCCCTGCACACACTGACTTTCTTGGCAGTGAAGGTACCCAGGCCACAGAGAGCACTGAGGCCTCCTGGCAGGTGCTTGGCCCGCAGCTGCAGTCACCCAGCATGGTTTCATCTCGGCCCCCAGAACCTATCCTGGTTAGAACTTAACCTTCAAAGGTAAAATGTGATTCTGTGAGATACAACTATCACAGCTGCTACTCCTGTGAATGAAAAATTAGATGTGAGATGATTCAGTCCACAGAAGCAGCAAGCCCAGGTGTGATTGCTCACCAAGGAAACGGATTTCACATATATTCTTAGCACCGGGGTAATTCATAGGCTCGGCCTGAACTGATTAAAATGCAACCAGTGATGGGATTCTGCAATAGGCCACAGAGTACGCTGCTTTTATTAAACTCAAAATGGTCATTAAAATGCCTCAAATTTTAATTTAAAACAAATTCACAGAACTATTCTTACCAGGGAGCGGTTTTGTTTTAGCTGAAAGCTTGTTGGTAAATCTTCCCAAAGGTCCAATTTTATATCCAAAGGAATGAAATTACAGTTCAGCTGGTTTCCATCCTGATTATAGATTAAGAAAGATTATCAATCCATTTTGTCTATAGGCACTAGTAATTATTTTATTTTATTTTATTTTTAAAATATATCTTTATTGATTTCAGAGAGGAGAAAGGAGAGGGAGAGAGAGAAATAGAAACATCAATGATGAGAGAGTCATTGACCGGCTGCCTCCTGCACGCCCCCGACTGGGGATCGAGCCTGCAACCTGGGCATGTGCCCTGACTGGGAATCGAACCACGATCGCCTGGATCCTAGGTTAATGTTCAACCACTGAGCCATGCCCGGCCAGGCACTAGTAATTATTTTAAAAGTAAAGAATTATATTATGACATAATAGCCCAGTCTCCTAAAAGATAAACTGAGGTGGCACATTCTAGACAAGATCCCACCCACACAGCTCCCCAGGAAGGACTCTGAGAAGAGGAAGGAGGCTCCCCACCACCCTCCGAAAGCCTGCAGTGCATTCACTGCTCAGGGTAAAAGTACCCTGCAGAGGGGGTAGTCAGTTAAACACAAGGTTGAAACATGAAGCATTTCTTTTATAAAGGGGGAAAGAATCTCTGCATATGAACATATAGCAACAGGAGTTGAATCGTATTATAACTCTGGTGGAAATGGAAATGCTCCAGCTCCCACAGTCACTTAGGAAAAGACACACAAAAGTAATTATATGTAGATTGAAAGTTTAGATACATAATTGTTATTCTAAACTCAATCAGACTTGGAATTCTGGCTGAAATGAACAGTTCTTTAGAGTTACACTGTTAATATGACATAAATGGCTAAATATCTGTTACTGCTCTCCCTTTTAAGGGGTGTTCTTTTAGGCAGGGAACTAGGCATTTATCCAGATTTCTACTTCGGCTCTTCGGAGGTAAAAAAGGAAAGATTTCATCTCAACTCTACTGTAGCTGTGAAGAGACCTGCTAACCTTTCATCTGCCTCGTGTCTCGTGTTTAGGAAATTAACTGAATGATGTTTTATGGTAAAGGGCGTAGTCATATGAATGCACTTGGAACTACTAAGAGGGGCGTTGAGAATGTGAGGTGGCCCGTGCTACACAGGCTGGTGGCAGAGCCAGGGGATGGATCGGTGAGGTGGTCACCATGTGGCCCGGGAGCTGGCACCCTATACCCTCTACCAGGAGCTTGCAGTTTCTCTCCCATCTCCACCAAAAGGGTGAGGAACACTCATCAGATGATTTAGGATACGGAAATTTCATTGTGCAGAGTAAAAAGTTTAGAGAGTTTAAGGGCTTCTGAATTGCCATATGTGCTCTGCCTGGTGTCCGACTTTTGGCCTCCTGACTTTCAAGCCCACCTGGGGATCAGTTCTCTGTTGATCTCATGTGATGGTCTGAGAAGCGTGGCCTGGAGCTCTCTCCCCAAGGGGATGGAGGTGGGTCAGGTGCTTAGATCTGCCTCTAGGGGAGCAGAGGAGCCCTTGGTGCTCCTCCCAGGTCTAGACATTTCACACATGGTGGCCTGGGGTCCAAGCCTGTAAGAGGAGCATTGCTGACTGTCTGGCTTCATTCCTGGTGTTCCTCTCCTGGCTGTGGTCTCATCACTGAGGCTGTGGACCTATAATGGAGGCTGTTTGGGGATTCTGTATTCATGATCCTGGCCACCTCCTGATCGTCTACCCATCTCATCTAATCTTCAGTTAGAACTGAAAATTACTACATGGTACACCATCCATCTATATTTATATTTGGTGTAGGAGATAACATGTAACTCAGTTTGGGCAGCTCCAACATAAGTTATCTTTAAAAAGGCATTCTTTCAGTAGAATGGCCAGTGAGTTAAAAAAGTTACAAATATCATTTTCCTATACTTATAAAAATTAGAAATTTGAAACTGCAATCCAAACAAGAGTATTCATAATCTCAGCAATTTTTCCTCAAATATTCATACCAGTTAACCTAGGCCAAAGATCCTCACATGGCCCCTGAGAGCTTTCCTGGGGATCCACGAGTCAAAGTGTTTCTGCAATAACAGTAAAAACGTGATTTCCCTTTCTAGTTCTCATTATGCCAGGACTGTACAGTGAGGTTTTCCAGGAACAGGCAGATCTGAGAATTCTACTGTTTCCTATTGAGAAAATTGTTAAAAATGCAAATGTTTGTTAAATATTATTTTTGTTTTGGAAAATATTATTTTTCATGAAAATATGCTGCTGATATAAATATGTATATTTATATTATGGCTACTCTTAAATAAAATAAGTGAATATTTTTAATAGTTTCCATTTTAATTTTAGATATAGTTAATACCAATAAATAAAACCCATAAAAACAACTGCTCCTTGGGGTCCTCAACAAATTTTAGGAGGGCAAAGAGGTCCTGAGACTATAAGGTTTGAGCTCCACTAGCCTAGGCTCTGGCAGGAATCTGAGAGATCTTGTCATTAAATCACCATAGAGTTTAGTGAACATGACGGGCAGGCGGTGGCTTCTGTAAAGATAGTACTGTCACTGCTGCTCCAAATGGACAGGGCAGGAGCTGGTATTTCACAAGTTCACTATGGCTGGGCACTGTGCTGACTGCTTTCCAGGGATTAGCTCATTTTTCCTTGCAATAGCTCCTCTCCACACTTTATAGTTGACGAAACTGAGGCACAGAGCAACGAAGTAAGGTGTTCCAGAGTCCACAGCTAGTGACAGATCTGGGCTGAGGGTCCAGCGCTGAAGTCCGGTCTCTTCACTACTAGGCCGTTTGCCTCTTTGACTTAACATCAGAATTTGATGATTTTCTCTTTAAGAAGAAAAGGAACTGGATGCCTATCCCTTTGTTAATAAAAATAAATATTTCATTGAAACATGAAAAAAAGGAAGCCTTCTGTATGATTCAAGGCACGGAATCCACAGGGCGCTTACCTGGGTGTAGAGGTGAATCCGGTCAGTATTCCTACTTGCCCGGAACATCAGGGCGCCGTACACCGGCAGGGGGGCTGAGCTCTTCGATTGCTCTAACAGAAAAGGTAAAAGAGAAGCTGAAGGCTCATCCACCGTCTATCCAAATTAGTTTACTTCAGTCTTCTGAGGGTTAGGATGATGAGAGTTTTATCAAATATATCAACATCTGTGGCAAAGAGCACGTGTCTGGGCCTGAAACGGAACTCATGGGAGGCCAGCTCAAAGCATACTGGCCCACGCAGGCAGCAGCTGCTCTGCATTTTTGCTAGTGACCCAAAAAGAAAGAACCAAATTTAGAATTAGTTGAGAAGTTACAAGTCAGGTCTAAGGGAGAATTTCCTGCCACCAAGAGTGAAGGGGTCTCGCATCTAGATTTGTGCTAGAGCCGATTTAAGTGGGGGCTGAATGGGCACTGTTTTGAGTATTAGCAGCAGTGCCGCTCCGTCGAGGGCCCTGTAAGTGCCTGACTCCCTATGGCTTCGGGCCTCACATTCACAAAAGGAAACGAGTGGAGAAGCTTCCTTCCTCATAATCTTTTTATTTATTCCTCTCTCAGTTCCACTGACCAATATGTTCTGTAGGAAAGATATGGTTATCAATGCTGATCTAAATAAAACTGTAGTTAACATTTACCAAGTACTCACAATGTTCTAGGCCTGGTCTAAGCACATATGTTAACACCCCCCCAGAAAGAAGCAGCGCATTATACAGAGGAGGACACTGAGACACGTTCATTTGCCCAAGGCCACACTATTGGTCACGGTACTTAGCCCAGTAATCTGGCTCCAGGGCCCATGCTTTTCACACCCCCACAGTTCCTCAGTGATCTCTGAAAGGATTTCCCAAATCTAGAAGTATATGATTTATTTGCCATACTACTTGACAATATCATCATATTTTTATTTTTCTAATCAAGGCACTGGTCCCTTCACAAACTTGGTTTGTGCATTATTCCCATATTTCACAGACTCAAAAATGTACATTTCCCCCCAGACTTCAACATCTCTGAAACTGGCATGTCAGTCAGTCAACGACTGGCATTTTACAATCACTGCCAGCCAGGGGGCAGTTGTGAAGCAGTTGTCACTGCCTGACCATGCATGAGCTCAGTCAGACTAGAAGATCCTTGTTACATCAACACTACACTCGAGGTATGTGCGTTACTGTTACTACACGTGTTGAGTTTAATTACCTTTAAAATGTCTTCAAAATGTTTCTCTATGATGCGGTATTAAAATGAAAAGTTATCATGTATAAAAAAAACAACAATAAACCTTAGATATGGAGCAGGATAGCATAAACTTGATATTAAAGAAGCAAATATATATCATTGGAGGAATAACCAATTCTTTTTATATTCTTGCAAACCAATAACCAAGTGGCTCATGAGACCTAAGAAAAGGAGATCCTTACAGATAGAGGAAGCGGTCTGACATTTGGATACTGAGATGTGAAAAAAGGGTTGCCTATTACATGCAAAGCAAAGCAATGAAGACAGGAGAAACTGCCACATCCCTCAGAAAAAATGAAAGAAATGTCAAAGCAACAGAGGGTGGTATGACTGGGTCTGGGCTGTCATTAAGATATTGTGTCATATTTTAATTGGCAGAGTTTTTTTTCTTTCTTAGTGTACATAAAATAAGTGCCTCTCATAAGCACTATGTTTTTAGATTTAAAGAATGAAGCACTAATGTGCAAAGATCATATGTTTTTCTTTGATAAAAAGCATTATAGGAACGATTCTAAATCAGTTGATGTGCTTGGTAGCTAGCAGCCATCCTGGAGAACGCATTTCTCTTTGTTCAATTTCCATGAAGTATAATTTAATGGTTCGAGATTATGGATGACGTTTTGTGAAGATACAGCCACCCTTCCAGAACCCCAGAATTCCCAAACTACAGTTCCAGTATAGTACATACCACTGCAATTCTAAAAGCATATGTTAGTAGAAAAACATTTTAACATAGTGTGTTTCCTCTGTTTTCATTCTGTTTGTTTTCATGGAAATCCATGTTAGTGGGGAGATGTGAAGCACATGGCGTATATGGAGTTCTCAGCCCCATGATCTGAGAAGTCGAAGAAGAAAGAAGGGTGAGAGATCCCAAGATGTTGGTGGATTGAGTGGAAGCTACATGGACACTCCCCCAGGACTTAACTGGAATTACAACTAAAATATAGAAAAACCATCCTGAATAATCAATTGCAACTGAAGACGAGCTGCAGACTACCCTCATAACCAAGGATGAAAAATGGAGACCACATAGAGACTGGAAGGAAGTGCGGAGTGTGAGAGGGCTGGTTGGGTTCCCACAGGCAGTAGCTGAAGGTCCAGAAGTATACCTCAGCTGTGGGGGGTACCCACTGAGAACTCTGGGCCTAAACACCAAGCTGGGCTTCCCAGCCCAGAGCACCAGAACTGAGAAAGGTACCCATATAACATCTGGTTGCGAAAAGCAGCTGGGTATCTGTCTACCAGGGAGAGACAGCTGAAAATGCAGGCACCCTCCTAAAGTGCCAATGCACAAAGTTTCATGTGCAGCCACTCACCTTGGGCTCCAGCAGAGGTAGGGCAGAGTGGACTAGAGTGGTGTGAGAAGAATCTGAGGTTTCGGGATCTGGAGACAGAGCTCAGAGGGAGGCCATCTAGATTCCTGTGTTGAGTCATTCCCCTATACTGCAGAGGACATCTTTTCCAGGCAGACCTTTGCTAGTCAGGCAGTTTTTGCCTGGAGGCGGAGCAAACGCCCCACCCACTGGAAAATCTCTCACCCCACCCACCCTGTGGAGTTTATGCCTTCCTGTGGTCTACAGACTGAGGTTCATTAAGAGACTAAGATCAATCAGCCTGCAGGCAGAGGAGGACCTCTGGGAGCTTTGAGTCTCTGCCTGATCTGCTTCTGGACCTGGGCCTTGGAAAAGCAGACTTTGGTGTACATCTTCATCCTGTTCAAATGCATCCAGCCCCAGCAAAGGGAACCACAAGATGTGGGTTGTTAATAGCTCCAAACAGGGTACTCAAGGCCAGCCACAGAGCGTCTGAAATTGGCCTGCCCTAGATACCCTCCAAAAAGACTGAGAGTCCTAGCAGATCCATCTAATACATAGAAACAACCCAAACAGGGAGCCAAAATGGGGAGACAAAAAACAAGCCCCCAGTGAAAGAACAAGAGATACTGATTGTAAGGATGCTCAAGAGCATGAGAAAAGATATAGAAACTATGAAAAATGACAAGTCAGAAATGAAGAATGACATAGCAGAAATAAAGAGTACATTGGAAAGAATAAACAGCAGATTAGAGGAAGCTGAGGACTGGATCAGCAAATTAGAAGACAGGGTAGAAAAAAGTCATTCAGCGATCCAAAAAGAAAAAACAATTAAAAAACAGGAGGACAGTCTAAGGGAGCTGTAGGACAACATGAAATGTAACACTATTCGCATTATAGGAATGCCAGAAGGGGAAGAGAATAAGCAAGAGATACAGAATTTGTTTGAAGAAATAATGGCAGAAAACTTCCCTAACCTGGTCAAGGAAAAAGTGGCACAAGTTCAGGAGGCACAGAGAGTCCTAAGCAAGAAGAAACCAAAGAGGCCCACGCCCAGACACATCATTATTAGGATGTCAAAAATTCAAGACAAAGAGAGAATCTTAAAGACAGCAACAGAAAAGCAAGCTGTTACCTACAAAGGGGCTCCCATAATGTTGTCAGCTGACTTCTCATCAGAAACTCTACAGGCCAGAAGGGAATGGCATGAAGTGTTCAAGGTAATGCAAAACAAGGATCTGAAACCAAGACTACTCTAGCCAGCAAGACTATCATTCAAGATAGATGGTGAAATAAAGAGCTTCCAAGACAAAAAAAGGCAGTTTATCAACACCAAACCAGCATTGCAGGAAATGTTAAAGGGACTGCTGTAATAATAAGAAGAAATAGAGAGAGGAACATAGGCATACAGAATTCAAATGGCAATAAATAAGGACCTATCAATAATAGCCCTAAGGACTTTAAGGGAGAGATCAACAGCAATACAGTCATAGTCAGGGTAACACCCCACTGACTTCACTGGATTGATCTTCCAGATAAAAAGTCAACACAGAAACAGTGACTCTAAATGGCACACTAGATCAGATGGATTTAACTGACATGTACAGAACATTTCACCCCAAAGCTGCAGAACATACATTCCTCTCAAGTGCACATGGGTCGTGCTCAAAGACAGACCACATGTTAGGACACAAAAGAAGTCTCTACAAGTTCAAGAAGATTGAAATCATATCAAGTATCTCGGATCACAATGGCATGAAATTAGAAATTAACTACAGTACAAACACTCAAAAACATTCAAACACATGGAGGCTAAATAGCATGTTATTAAACAATGATGGGTTACCAATAAGATCAAGAAAGAAATAAAAAACTTCCTGGAAACAAGTGAAAATGAGCACACAACAACCCAAAATCTATGGACACAGCAAAAGCAGTCCTGAGAGGGAAGTTCATGGCACTGCAGGCCTACCTCAAAAAGCAAGAACATTTCTTCCTAAACTAAACCTACAACTTAAAGAATTAGCTCCCCTGTGAAGCCACCTGGACCAGGGCTTTTGTTTGCTGGGAGTTTTTTTTATTAATGCTTTGATTTCATCAGTTGTTATTGGCCTATTCAGGTTTGCTGGTTCTTCCTGATTCAGTTTTACATGATCTCACTCATATGTGGAATCTAATAAACAAAATAGACTGAGGAACAAAATAGATCCAGAGACACAGAAGCATGCAACAGACTGATGAATCTCAGTGGGAAGGCAGGGGTGGGGGAGTGGGTGCGGAGNTTGTTTTACATGATCTCACTCATATGTGGAATCTAATAAACAAAATAGACTGAGGAACAAAATAGATCCAGAGACACAGAAGCATGGAACAGACTGATGAATCTCAGTGGGAAGGCAGGGGCGGGTGGGTGGAGGGGGAGAGATTAATCAAAGAACACATAGCATATATGCATAACCCAGGGACACAGACAATAGTGTGGTGAAGGACTGGGGGGAGAGGGGGNTATGCAATATATGCATAATCCATTGACACAGATAATAGTGTGGCCTGGGGGGGGCTTGGATGCAGGTTGGAGGGGATCAGTGGGGGGAAAAAAAGGGGATATCTGTAATACTTTCAACAAAAAAGATAAATTAAAATAAATAAATAAATAAGAAAAAAAGGAAGAAAGGATATACAGGTATATGGGGAAATGCTAGCACTGCCTGGAATGGATGAAACCTATGCAAATTTCACTAGCAGAATACAATTTCTAAAAGTCCAGTGATCTTTGAAAAGTGTGTGTATGTAAAGCTAATCCATGTCCTGATCAAGAGACAAATTTACAGCCGACAAGCCAGTATTTCCCTGCCACTGGTGTAGACTCAGGGCCCGGCTGGTAACAACTGCCCGCTGCCGACCCCACGTCTGCTGAGCGCATGCTGTCCTACAAGCTTCATCAGCACTGAGGGACTCGCAGTGGGGACAAGGAGACCAGAAACATAAAAGGTATGCCCCACCTTTGTCGCAACTGTCTACAGAAAGGCCGTTAGAGGTAACAAACCTAAACAGGACCCACCCCAAGATACCCTTTGGGAAGACCCAGAGGAGTTAGAGGATGGAAGGCTGAGGGAAGAAGAGAGGAAGATGTCCTGAACTAGGAAGGTCTGAAATAAACAGTTTTATTTTAAAGCTACATATCAACTCCAAATTCTATCTGTTTTAAAGTAACTAGTTTAGAAGGAAAACTTCAACAGTCCATCCCCACAATTTTTGGTTGTTAAACGAGACATGAATCAGTGAGTTACTATGGTCACTAACTGAACAACAAAGAAAACAACCCCAAAGCACTCACAATCTCTTGTCAGCTGACCCATAACGACAGTGATGCATGACATATAGGCTGGTATTGGCCAACCACCACAGCTATAAATAATAAATGGAACCAACTGAAAAGTAAATAAATCTGAAACACTACATGGTTAGCTCCAAGTGCAGTCATGATTCAGTCTTTTTTAAAAATTAAAATATAGTTAACATACAATATTATATTAGTCTCGTGTGCAACATAGTTATTCAATATTTATACTTATCAAAGTGATCATGTGATTCATATAGTCTTGAAATTATGTCCTTAGAAACATTTTCTTAAAAAAAGAACACAAACCCCAAACCCTAAATTTAAAATATGCCAATTAGTTGTATACATTTAAAATTCATGTGTAAGGTATTAATTATCTGCTAAGTGGTTGTTAATAATCTGTCAATCTTACTATTTGGCCAAAAGAACGTCCCAAATATCAAACTGCCCCCTCGCTGTGTGAATGGGCCATGCTTGGCTGAGGATGGGCTCAGGCCTGGGCAGCATATGCAGCCAGGTATCGGTTTTGCTCTCTCTATGTGATGCCTGAATGCCAACAGTTCTGCTCTCCCAGCCACCTGGTGTTTAAGTATATGGTTTATATTTTTAATATACGTGAGAAAACAAGGAACCAGAACCAGGTCATAAGCACAAATCAACTAACAGTATTATGCATCTAAGCACATGCCTATTATTTGGGCAATGGAAATGGGAGCAAAACTTACCATCATCCGGCTGGGCTGTGAGTCTGCCGTCTCTCTCGATTTTTGATGTTTCTTCCTTGCTCTCAGCCAACAGCTCATTTTCTGACCGAGCAAGCACTTGTTTTTCACAGTCAGAATTCATCCCAACATTCTTGCACGTGTCTTTCTGAGAATCATCTTTCTCATTTTTGTTTTCATCCTGGGTAGCGTTGAGGTTATCTATTTGCAGAATTAAACAAATAATTTACACATAAATTTAAAAATCAAACAGAATTTATACATAAATTTAGATAAAGTCATTATTTACCCTAAGCTCAGTTTAAAAGGAAAGTTAAAAAAAGCATAGTAGTTCCTATAAAAAGAAACAAAGTCAACAATGTTTGCCTGTTCTTTGGAAACATTTACTGAAAGTCAGTAAATACCAAGTTCTACTCCAGGTGCTGGAGGGGAAGCAAAGGACAAGATAGATTCGTCCCTGCTCCCTGGAGATTCCATCCTAAGTGGCAGATTGACAATAAACAGGTAAACAAACAAGTAAATAGGATTTTTTCAGATAAATGGGATTTTGTAAGTAAGGAGATGGTAGGGCAAAAGTCAGCAGGACCAAACTCTTGGAGCAGCCCCATTTATGCTGAGAGATATTCATGAATCTAGGAAGCCTGGCCCTGGGCCTATATTCTTGGATTAGATTCTAAGTATAGCTAGAAGCCATTAGACGGTTTTAGGCAAAGGAATACATTGATTTAAGTTTTTGAAGGATCACTCTGGCTGCTGTATAGAGAAGAGCCCCAAGGGAGAATAGAATAGAGGCTACTGAGGTCTGGGAGAGAGAAAACAGTGGCTTACAGGGGGATGGTAGCAAAAAGATAAAGTGGCTAGAACTGGGATGTATTTCAGAGGCTACACCAGCAGAACTCGATGGGTCAAGTGTGGGAGGAGAGGAAGGAATCAAGAATGCTGCCTAGGTTTTTCGCATGATGTGGGGAAGATGGGAAGCGAAAATTTGGGTGTTGGTGGTGAATCAAGAATTCCATTCTGGACATGTTAACCTTGAGGTACCCATTAGACATTCAGGTGGAGATGCTAGAGAGACCACTGGGTATAGTCAGTCTGAGTTCAAGTGAGAGAGAGAAATCTGGGCGTATGAACTGTAAGATGTCAAGTGTAAACTATAGATTTTTAAGAACAAAGCACAAGAGAGGTGTTACTTATTGACACATATTAGTGTTCATTAGTATACTGCACCAAATTTTATCTAATGTACTACAGCCTGCATTAGCAACCTTTATAGGACTGTAATATCCTAATACTTCTCCTTTGTTTTTCTTGGATTCCACTGTTTCCTCAAAGTGTTACATGGCAGCTAAGGACTTAAAAATTTAGATGGATTAGAATTAATTCTGTGTTTCAATACTTTTGGAGTATATCCAAATCAATATTTGAAATCACTATGCTAAATTACAGTAATATTGATCTAATAATAACTTTTATATACAGTAACATCACTGTTACTTAGAATACATATTTCTCTTTGATCAGACAGTTCCATGTTCACAAAAGGTGTTTTTGTTTAGATTGCTTGAGAGTTTGCTTATTAAATCATGGGTCTAGAAACTTTCATTGTTGCTCTTGGTATTATCACAAAGAAAAATCAGAGCTATAAAACCCTATTAAACTACAATTTTTGTTGCTAAATCGTTCAACTTACATATTTAATGTGAACTGACATTATTTTGTACTCACGAGATACTTTATTTTTATTGCCTGCAGCACTTGGAAATTGAAGGAGATAACGTAAATTGTGAGAGAGGTGATATGGGATAAGCCCGTGGTTCCAATTTAGCTCAGAGACAACAGGTGTCCACGTTACTAACATAACCACCCAGATGGCAGCCTTGCCAGTTTTGGTAGGAACACCCGGAACTGAAAGAGGAAAGACTCAGCTACTGATTACATTTTTCTCTCAAATCAAAGCTAAGACAGAGGGAAGTGAAGCAGGCAAGAAGGACTGCAGTTTCAGCTTCCATCTTAGCTGAGTCTTTGTTACTGTTAATACTCTGGAGAATTCACTTTTGGTGGAAAAGTAGATGTGACCAATTATTACACTTGATAAACCAAAATCACTTCCTCTGGTTTCCAAAATTATGGACTTGGCATTTTGAGTTACCATAAAAAGGATCTCCAACATTGGAGAATTGGGAACAAAAGGAATAAGATCTTTTTCTTAAGACAACCGCAGGCATTAATAATCATTTCAAAAACAAAACATCAGAAAATGGCATCTTATGTTATAAAACCATACTCTCACATATGATTTATACTTTTAAAATAGCATGTTTTAAAAAATAAGCTCATAAAACAGATATAAAATTGATTCTTAAAAAAGATCTATAGCCCTAGCTGGTTTGGCTCTGTGGTTAGAGTGTCAGCCCAGGGACTGAAGGATCCGGGTTCGATTCCGGCCAAGGGCGCGTACCTTGTTTGCAGGCTTGATCCCCAGGCCTGGTGGCGGGGCACGTGCAGGAGGCAACCAATCAATGTCTCTCTCTCACATTAATGTTTCTCTCTCCCTTACACTCTCTCTGAAAAGCAATGGAAAAAATATCGTGTGAGGATTAAAAAAAAATTTAAAAGAAAAAAAAGATCTACAGAGGAATTTTTATGGTTGTCATGCAAGAAACATGACCCAGTGTATATTTTACTAAACAAAGAAGCTACACTGGGTTATTTTGCCATTTGAACAAAAATAATCTATAATTTCTTTAAAAACAAGTAGTATCTACAGAGCAAAGGAAACAGCAGGTCTACGACTATAAGGCATATTTGCTGCCATAGCAACAGAGCTTCTATTCCTGCCCACTGAATTCACATCCTGCTGGCATTAATCAGAAATGTCCATTTGTGCCAAATTAATGCCATGTCACAAATGCTGAGGGATATACATTCTTGACAGAACCAGGAACTTTTCACATTCCACCAGGGGATAAATTCACTTCGCTATGTGAAGTTGTTACTCTAGCTTAAAAGCTAAAGGCAGTGCGAGTCCCATTAACCTCTGATAGCAGCAGTCATCTCTAAACCCACAGGCTATCTGAAGACACGGCTGCCAGCCCCCTCCCCCTCCCGCGCATACTCACCAGCACTGCCATGAGGATTCCTACACATTTCACAGTAAGGTAGCAATGAGTTATTAATATAGGTGCAGAAACCACACTGCCAGTCCTTTCCAGGAAGGGCTCGGGAGGTTGCCTGGGCTAGAGCTGTGGTTTGCCCGGGGCCGGATGGCTGCTCCTGTGGGGGGCTGCTGCGGTCACCCGTGGTGGCTGACTTCAGTCTTTTAGCTTCAGGCTCAAAATTGTTTTCAAAATCAGTACTATCTCTTGTAGATATTTTTCCAAGGTCTGTTGGGACTACAGTATTTTTCTCGTGGCATATCTTTGATTCATCACAGGTTATCAACTGACTCTTTTTAGATTTTGGTAAAAAGAATGATCGAATATCATGCTGTTTTTCTTTTTCAAACTAGAAAAAACAAATAGTTATTAAATTAACAAGCAATCTAATATCTGCTTCCTAAATGAAACAGGTTAACAAACTGCTTTCATTAACCTTATCTTTTATCTTCTGAATACCTTGCTGGAAATGAATTACATTTTGCTGTGACTCTTCATATATACATAGATGCAGAATACCATTCACACATCCATATATTCCTGTGTGATTTTTTTTTTTTACCATTTATAATGTGTCAAGCACTTTACATATATTAACTCATTTAATCCTCATGCCTGCTCTGTGAGGCAGGTACCATTCTTCCTATATTTCAGATGAGGACAGGGCAGCTTTAGAGAGGTTAGGTAAATTGGCCACAGAAGTTATGTAATTAAAATGTACTTCATAAACACTCTCTTCCAGAGAAGGGATGCATCAGGGAAAGAAGGTGACTGTGTGTGTTTAAGTACTGCAAGTCAATCAAGAACCTAGAAGAATGTTTTCACACCCAAACTATAAACACAATGTTCATAACAATATGTTTTTCACATTAAAATATTTTTTCTTGATCAGGGAGAATTTTTAAAATAGCATTAAGTTAGAACAGCTGCTTTAATGGCACATTTTAATAATTATTCTGTTTTCAAGAAATATATTTTTCTTTTCTAAGAGCAGCTACATAATCATCTCATGTTTTTTATCTTCTTTTCAATGTGTAAACCTCAACCTCCTAATTAGAGAAAGCAGGATGCCTATCTTCTCAGCTGATGAGCTAGCAGTTAAGGTAAATTAAAGGAATTGACTTCAGAGAAGTCCTGCTAGGGCTGCATCGGGTACCTCGGTGCACACACACACTGCACCAGTCTGCACTCCAAATATGGTCACACCAATATTTATCCCATTTCACATGCTCTTCTCACAGGTGACCTTGACACACCTACATTCAGAGGTGGGGTCTGTGTTCCTCTCACTGGAACCTGGGCTGACTTTTCTAACTGTCTCAATCAATAGAAGGCAGCGAAAGGGAGGCTGGGTGACTTCCGAGGCCGGGTCATTGAAGGTAACGTGGCCTCCATTTGGCTGATGGCTCTCTCTCTCTCTCTAAGTCTCAGGATGCTTGCCTTTGAAGCCCAGCCACCACGTTGTGGGGAAGCCTGGAGCACGTGGAGAAATCACGTGTGGATGTTCAAGCTGACGACCCCAGGCAGGCCCCCAGGTTACAGCCAGCTCGTGAGTGAAGGAGCCTTCAGATGTGTGCAGATCCCGGCCTTGGGGTCTTCCAGCAAAGGCCCAGTCGTTGTGGAGCAGGGGCAGGTATTCTCCATTATACCCCCACCCACAAAAACATCAGAAATAACACGATTGTTATTATCTGAAGAAACTAAGTTTTGGGGTAATTTGTTAAAGAAACTAACTATTGTTTGGAGAAACTAAGTTTTGGGGTAATTAGCTATGCAGCAATAAATAAAAAGGGCAGGCACTACAGATAATGACAGCATAATATAATAAACTGTAAAGAGATATTTAAAAATCTAATCTAATGAAGTAATTAACGAGAAGATTTTTAAAGCGATGCACAAAGGAAATTCTAAGAAAAGGGTGGAGGAAAGCAGAGAAATTGGCAGACCTGATCGAGTCCCACTGTGTTGTCCACTTCTGTTTCATGGGAGAGGCTTCCTTCCATGCCTGGTGGCCTTGCTATCTCCTCATATTTAAGGATAAGACACTAAAATGCTACTGTTGGAAGTTCCATGTGGGAAACGTCACTGAGGGTCATCTGTGACTGTCTCTGGGCAACCCTTCCAGTCTCCCTTGTCTTTCTTAGTCCAGTCAGTTTCTCCAGAAAGGGGTCCTCCAGTCTCCTGCCTGGAGGACACTATGGTGGTTACCAGTGCCCAGGCAGCTTCACAGGGGAGCTTTCTAATTCTTTAAGTTGTAGGGTTAAGTAGTTTATTAAACATTTTTCTTGCTTTCTGAGGTAGGCCTGAAGTGTTCCCTCTTAGGACTGCTTTTGCTGTGTCCATAGATTTTGGGTTGTTGTGTGTTCATTTTCATTTGTTTCCAGGAATTTTTTAATGTCTTTCTTTATCTTATTGGTAACCCATCATTGTTTAATAACATGCTATTTAGCCTCCATGTGTTTGAATGTTTTTGAGTGTTTGTACTGTAGTTAATTTCTAATTTCATGCCATTGTGATCCGAGATACTTGATATGATTTCAATCTTCTTGAACTTGTAGAGACTTCTTTTGTGTCCTAACATGTGGTCTGTCTTTGAGCACGACCCATGTGCACTTGAGAGGAATGTATGTTCTGCAGCTTTGGGGTGAAATGTTCTGTACATGTCAGTTAAATCCATCTGATCTAGTGTGCCATTTAGAGTCACTGTTTCTGTGTTGACTTTTTATCTGGAAGATCAATCCAGTGAAGTCAGTGGGGTGTTACCCTGACTATGACTGTATTGCTGTTGATCTCTCCCTTAAAGTCCTTAGGGCTATTATTGATAGGTCCTTATTTATTGCCATTTGAATTCTGTATGCCTATGTTCCTCTCTCTATTTCTTCTTATNCTTTGAATTCTGTATGCCTATGTTCCTCTATTTCTTCTTATTATTACAGCAGTCCCTTTAACATTTCCTGCAATGCTGGTTTGGTGTTGATAAACTCCTTTAGCCTTTTTTTGTCTGGGAAGCTCTTTATTTCACCATCTATCTTGAATGATAGTCTTGTTGAATAGAGTAGTCCTGGTTTCAGATCCTTGTTTTGCATTACCTTGAACACTTCATGACATTCCCTTCTGGCTAGGGCTCCCAGTATTTTGGATGGTCTCTGCTGCAGGCCAATGTCAGATGCTGTTTGTGACTGACCTTGAGTATCCTGTTTGAAGTTTTCCACTTTCACAGCTTCTGGTTTCCTCTGTTCGTGCTGGGTGTGTTTGGACAGGAGCAAGATGTGCACCAAGGTCTTCTTTTCCAAGCCTTGGGTCCAGAAGCAAATCAGGCAAAGACTCAAAGAACTCAGAGGCTGTTATTCAGTCTAAGGAGCCTCAGGTTGTAGAAACTCCATGGGGTGGGACCAGAGGTTTTCCAGCAATCGCTTCCCTTCTCCCCCCTAGGCAAAAGCTGTTTGGAAAGGAAGTGTCTGCCTGAGAAAGATGTTCTCTGCTGTATGGGGGAATGACTCAGCACCGGGGTCCAGACAGGTACCCTCTGAGATCTATTCCCCCAGCCAGCTCCCCTAGATTCTCCTCACACTGCCCTAGTCCACTCTGCCTCCGCTGCAGCCCAAGTGAGTGGCTGCACATAGAACTTTGCACATTGGCCCTTTAAGAGGGTGCTTGAATTTCCAGCTGTCTCTCCCTGGCAGACAGAAACCCTGCTACTTTTCACAGCCAGACAATATGCGGGCACCTTTCTCAGTTCTGGTGCTCTGGGCTGCAAAGCCCAGCTTGGAGATTAGACCCCAGAGCTCTCGGTGGGAACCCCTCAAACAGCTGAGATGTCCCTCTGGACCTTCAGCTGCTGCCTGTGGGAGCCCAGCCAGCCCTCACGCGCCTCTGTACTTCCTACCAGTCTCCATGTGGTCTCCCCTTTTCCTCCTTGGTTATGAGGGTGCTCCCCAGCTAGTCTTCAGTTGCGGTTGATTATGCAGGATGGTTTTTCTATATTTTAGTTGTAATTCCAGTTTTACCCTGGGAAAGTGTCAGTGTAGCTTCCAGTCAGTCCGCCACCATCTTGGATCTCCTCTTTATAAAGCATTTTAATTTCTCCATCTCTCCACCAAAATATAAAGCAAAATTGTTTAAGATATTTATAAAAAAGCAACTCTCCCCGAAATAATACAAAACAAAAACCTAAGAAATCTTTCAAAAAATCCTCAGAGCCTTAAAATATCAGCTTTTACAGTTGATCTCTTCAATTAAGCTATTCTAAAAAATAACTTCCTTTACTATTTAAGTAATGACTAATTTTGAAAATTACCATTTGAGAAATTCTCAGTCTGTGCCAGAGGCAGGTTGCAAGTCAGGGTGAGCAGTGATCGGCAGTAATCAGAAACTGATGTAGCCCCCTGCCACTGCGAGGTTTACTCACAGGGCCTGGGAGTAATCAGTATGGGTGCTATTTTGAAACTACGGCTGCGTGGGTAAGAATAAACTGAGACTTTAGCATGAAAATTTTGGAAAAGGAGTAGATAGGTGGAAAGGGAATCATTTGATATCACTTCAGGAAACAAAGGATACATAGAGAATAATTTTAGAAAACAGAGAAGGTGAGATTAAAAAGTAGCAATGACTTCAGCTAATGTCATGATGGCTAAACTGGGCAATGAGGACTTGGTTCCAGGGAGTGAATGTTACCAGTTACGGCCCTGGCCACGGGGCTGCCAGAAGCTGTGAGGCGTAACAGGAATGAAAACTTCTTCTGAGATCAATTAGAAACCTGACCCATACCATCAGTTACATTTCCTGATTGTAGCCTCTGAGCAATCGGGCAGGAAGTTGGTTGATGAGGTTTCTTTGATACTTAGCTATGACTGATAGAAAAAACAGAAAATCTCTCTGACACATCCTAACAATAACTGTCTGTTGGATGGGAACAGAGAACAGTCTCAGGTTTGCTGAATACAAGTTCTTAACCTGAGATTCATGGGCCTCTCACTAGACTTCGGGTGGCCTTCAGCGAGCCTGAGAAACTCCTGAGATTGTCTAGAAAATGTATTGTATGTGCATTTTCGGGGAGTAGTTTTTTAATCTCTCCATAGTCTCAAAGGGATTCAGGACCCAACAGAGGTTAAAAGCCACTGGATTAGAATAAAATATCTGAAGATGCACATATGGTTCAAGTAGCTCCGTTTCTTTCCTTAATTTTCTAGAGGTAAAGAGAGATTGAGGGTTCATATGTGAATGTACACATGGGTGGTGAACTAACTCTTTTAAAGAGGAAACAAATGCATAAATTCTCTTAAATAATGATGATCCCTCTAGGTGATTTCAAATAATAATTTTAAAAAGCAGAATAATACCAAAACACAG